TTCCCTGCCCATTGTCCTGGTTTTGAGAGGGGGTGAGGAAGAGAAAGAGAAAGAGAATGAGGAAGAGAAAGACAGTGACACTGCTTCCATGACTTCTTGCTGCCAGTATTAGCCTGAAGCCAACTCCAGTCATTTTTACCTGTAGTGTTCCTCCCCCTCTTCAGAAATTAAACCTGGTTAGTTGCTTCAGCTGCACAAGAGATCACCAGATACTTATGTCATAGTCTCTCTGCAGCAGAAACAAACAGGCTTGCTGATTTAAGTTTATCATACTTCCAAAAAAATTATGCACTGCTTTTGAGGGCTTATTTTTAGCATTAACTAGAAATTCTTCATAAATAAATAATTTATAATTAAAGAGACATTACGATCAAAACAACAGTCGGAGGTCCAAGACTACCAGTATCAAACTTTTATTTTTCATTTGTTAAGAGTGAAAATGAAAGTAGATTTAATGAGCAATAAAAAAGTTATCACTACCTTGAATTATCCTGTATTAAATAAAGCTCATGGATGGAACATGCAATCTGAGATTTATCCTTTTAAGCTTTGCTTTAAAAAATTAATAATTTGTCAGTTATGCTCCGAAATATGGCATACTTCCAGGGCAAGTTTGTCACATTCTACAAAAGGAAACGGCTACACCAAGGGGGATCAATTGGGAAGTAATGAAGGACTGGTGTTGTGGATTAGCTGTTGGTCAGCTGTGTACACTAGCAGTTCTGTCCTCTGCTGTTGTATTCCGTGCGACCTAGATGATCAGTGGGTACAGGACATTTACAAAGAGAGCTAATATTGCAGCTAAAGTGCTGAGAACAAAATATCGGATGCAGTCTTGGTCTGAGTAGTCTGTAAGCTGAGTTCCTGAGAAATCCTCGTGGATCCGAGACTGCAGAGGCCTAAGTCCCTGATTATGCCTGCCTGGTGTGCGTGGTCCCTCTTCCCCAGTCTCTTCTGCCTCCAGCTCCTGCCATATTAGAGAAGCCTGCGATTTGTGGAAACTCCCATCAGCCTCTCGCAAAAGAACAATGTAATACAGGCCTTCTCTAACTCAAGCTCCTGATAAAACATAAAACTGCCTTCGGTGCAGTAATTTAGAGAAGTGCAAGAGGTTCTGGGACAATAACAGTGGAACAACAAAACAATATGTTGAATATTTTAGTTTTAAGAAAAGTTGTTAAACACGTGCTCAGATTGATGAAATGATAATGATGCATGCAAGCAAGCATGTGCACATATTGGCAATGCATGTGCGCTGGCTCCATATTTGTGGTGTGTTTGCAGGTAGCTATGTTCAGTGTGTATGCATGTATACAAAACGTGTTAGACATGTGTGGAGCGATGTACTTGTTGCGGGGGGGAGAGTGGGAGAGAAAATGGATGGGCTCTGGCAAACGTGGGAGGTGAGGTACATGTGCATGCATTCGAGAGACTGGCGTGGAATGTGATGTGCAAGACCATCCAGAAGATTTAACACTTGAGCCAAATGGAGGGGAGTAGTGAAGAAAGGCAATGCCCCACTCTGCCTGGGATGACAGCGTGAATGGCGTAATAGTAAGCACTACAGTCAGCTCCCGCTTTCATCCCTAGTTTGTGCTTAAATAGCACCTCTGGCCTAGAGGGAGGTAGCTGATAGGATGTGTCATCAGACTGCTCCTGATCAGCTGCCTCAAAAATCCATCGTAAAGCACAGCACATGCACTGAATTACTTTATAGTTATGCAGGCTAAAAATCAAGCAAACCTATTCCTAACCGCCATCCCATGTCAGAGAGGGTGCTACATTATCAGATGGTGATAGGAAGGGTCTCAGTTCGGACAATTCACAATTACAGTTTAGGCTCAAGTATTTGAGCATGCTGGCTTTGATAGAGGTTAGGTGAAAATGGGAAGAGAAAATAATAGCTTCCTGAAAGAATATTTTTGAAACAGCCCATACTAAATGAATGGGAATGTTTTGAACTAGCAAGACCATGTAAGTGCTACCCCAGAACATTTTGCACATTCCAAGTTGCAATTGATGAACCAGGATCAAGTATTTGGACTAGATTTGGGACAAACACACTTGAGAATAGGCTCATGTAATAAAGAAAGCAAATAAAGCATTCCAGGTTAATGCTGCAAATTTACTTTTAAACAGTTGGATTTAGTCTGTCCCCACCACAACACACAATCTGAAGAGGTCAAAAAGCAGCACTACTCTCAAGTTAGCTTGTCTAAGTTACCACATGAGACAATGCATCAAAACAGAGAAAAACAGAACTGTGTAAACACAACAGGAAAGATATATTCAATAATCACTGCAATTACGTTAACATGAACTGTATACTATATAAAAACATTAAACGCATGCTTTAATGGACCATTCAAAGATCTTCCACTTGCCCGCTAATTTCAGAGGTAAACTAAGAAGGGCCATCATTTGGGGGGGGTGGGGAGACAGTTCGGTGCTTGAATGTAATACCCTATTTTCCAGTACTCATTCTCTAGACAGTGACTTGCCAGGTGCCAGAATGAAATAACTACCCATGCAACATTTCCCAAATCAGGATGCTTGCAGGAGTGACATGTTGTCTCCCTATTCTGTATTTCTCATCTCCGTATTCACAAAGGAAAGGAATGATATAGATTAGAATCGAAGAAGAACAATGTGAATCCTTTGAAAGTGGATAAGTTGGCAGGGCCAGATGGACTGGTACCGAGGATGTTAGAGGTGGTCAGGGAGAAATAGAAGCTGAGGATTATTTTCCAATCTTCACTAGACACAGGTGAAGTGTCAGAGGATTGGAGGAGTGCAAATGTTGTTCCGTTGTTTAAAACGCTAATTAGTCTTACTTCAGTGGTGTGAAAATTGTTAGAATCAATTCTGAGAATTGGATAAACTGTCATTTAGAAAAGCATGGGCTAGTCAGGAATTGTCAGCATGGCTTTGTTAAAGGAAGGTCATGCCTCACAACATTTGATTGAATTCTTTGAGGAAGTGACAAGGAGGATTGACGAAGGTAGTGAAGTGGATACTGTCTACATGGGTTTTAGTAAGATATTTGACAAGGTCCCACATCAGAAAAATAAAAGCCACAGGGTACAGGGTAACATGTCAAATTGGAGCCAATGTTGGCTTAGTAACAGGAAACAAAGGGTAATAGTCGATGGCTGCCCTTGTGAATGGAAAGCTGTTTCAAGTAGTGTTCCACAGGGCTCGGTGTTGGGACCCCAGAGTTATTGGGGATCGAGTAACAGTTTGGCAACAGTGGATCATTGTTATCGGGGATGTGGCCAATGCTGGAGTCAGAAAGCAGAATGGAGGTAGGTTAACATCTTAGGTGTTCCTTTTTAGAAGTCTGATGAAGTTTCTTAACTTCTATTTGAAGGCAAGTTGAAAGACCGACCTCTTGTAGCATTTTGTGTTTTCATTTTTTTGGTCCAACATACAGATAGCCACCTCCCAAGGGCTTGTGGTGAAGCATTATACACGCACTCTCACGTAGATTGGAGCAGAAATAGCAGACAGCTGGAGCACTACTGGCAGCAAACCTAATGAAACAGGTCAATGGGAAGCAGAAGGTCTGGGTGGGGTGCAATGGGGTGGGTGGCTCAGTTATGAAAAGCAAGGTCATTTTTGAACACAATCTTAGGGCGTGAAACATGGCGCTTCCCAGGAAAAAAAAAGACAAAATTTTTAGTTTCTTTTTTCAAATAAAAAGCAATGACACAAAGGGGAGAGTGGCATACATTATCATAGAACAGGATCAGAGAGCCTTCACTAAACTGGCCAGCAAAATCTCATTGGTCTAGGGGTATGATTCTCGCTTAGGGCCTTGTACATTGTAAACATGCAAGAGGTCCTCGGTTCAAATCCCGGCCGAGCCCTCATTTCTTGGGGCGACACAGTGGCTCAACGGTTAGCACTGCTGCCTCACGGCACCAGGAACCCAGGTTCAATTTCACCCTCGGGCGACTGTCTGTGTGGAGTTTGCACATTCTCCCAGTGCCTGCGTGAGTTTTCTCTCAGTACTTCGGTTTCCTCCCACAGTCCAAAGATGTGCAGGCCGGGTAAATTAGCCATGGGAAATGCAGGAATACAGGGCTAGGATCAGGGGTGGGTCTGGGTGGGATGCTCTTCAGAGGGTTGGTGTGGACTCAACGGGCCAAATGGCCTGCTTCCACACAGTAGGCATTCTATTCTAATGATCCACGCCTTTCCCACCTGCACATGAATTAGCAGCAATTTTGAAGAACTAGCGGTAATACGATAGTTGCAAACCTAATAGCAAGGCAGAAATTGGGCTTTAATATTGAAAGCACAGAATGTGAAATCTCACAAGCTTCTGGCTGTTGGCCATTGTTGAGAGAAAATGTTGCAAACTTTGAATACCCTAGGCTTCTCATGCTTTAAAGAGGAAAGTAAACTCAGTCAGAACAGATCCCTGGGTCACAGGAAAGTCAGGGCACTGGTGTAGCTTATTTTTGTGCAACAGCAAGGCACCCAAGGCTTGGGGTTTGGGTTGGTGACGGGGTGTGGCATGGCAATGGGCTAGTGGTACTAATACTCGACTATTAATCCAGAAACTCTCGTAACCTTCTGGGGATTCCAGTTTGAATCCTGCCTCGGCAGATGTTGAAATTTGAATTCAAGAAAAAAAGGAAGTCTGGAATTAATAGAGTAATGATGACCATGAAATCTTTGTCAACTGTTGCAAAAATCCATCTAGTTCACTTATATCCTTCAGGGAATGAAACTGCAATCCTTGTGGGGTCTGGCCAACATGTGACTCCAGACCCACAGCAACATGGTTGGATCTTCATTGCCCTCCGGTAATTGGGGATGGCCAATAAATGGTGGCTTAGCCCACATCCCATGAATGAATTAAAGAACCCACCAGCCCAAGACTGCAGCACAATCCACAATACCTGTTAGCTTTTAGGAAGCAGCAGGGTGCGACAAAGATGCCTTGCCCTTCCCACTCAGATTCCATTGTGAAATTCACAGACTAGAACTAGTTAAGTATCATGGAAATTAAAATTAACATTGACAAGTGCAGCTCCTGGAAATCTCAGAAATATTCAATATCTTATAGAAGGTAATGAAATTGAAACATTAATTTTGATTCTCCCTCCAAAGATGCTGAGAGACCATCTGAGCATTTTCTGACTTTATTCCTGGAAGATGTCACTGTTGTGTGGCCAACTGTTAACTAGTGACTGAAGAAAATGCACTGTAATAGACAGAATTAGAATGTGCTAAATGGAGAGCCTTTCATATTATAGATGAGAAGTAGTTTCCACCATCAGGAGGAACAGTAACAAGATACAACAGATTCAAAGTAACTCATAAAAGAGCCAGAGGCAAGACGAGGAGAAATCTTTTCTTTATCTATCATGGTGATCTGAAATGCGGTGTCAGAAAGTCAAAGAGGCAATAATGTCAAGGAAACGGGCTAAAATTTTGAAAAGGAAAAAGATTGCAGGGCAACAAGAAAAGAGCAGGGACAGTAGGACTAATTGGATAGTGCTCTCAAAGAGCCAGTACAGAACCACCAGCCACGGTGTGCTACACGGCAGGAGCAGGTAGAGTTACTATCTCCATATGTTGTGTTCTAAAAACAGGGTCGCCCCCTGTTAGTTTTCCAAAGCAAGATTACATTAGCTGATGTCAATGTCCAGCCAAATGTGTTTTGGGTGATGTGGACAACAGTGTCTTCCAAATTTCTTGAAGTCAATTCCACAACTAAAAACTTCCGAACTCAAGACCAGGCGATTTTAATGACAAGTTCTGATGGAAATGTCACTGGACACAAAACGTTAACTCTGCTTTCTCTCCACAGATACTGACAGATATGCGGAGTTTCTCCAACAATTTCTGTTTTTGTACCAGATGATTTTTATTGGGCAAAGAATATACAGCAACGAGACTACAGATCAGTCAACTGAATGGCAGAACAGATTCGAGGAGCTGAATGAGCTATGTTTCTAACATACCACAGTG